GCCCCTGTAATTGGCTTTGCAGGCGTATATGTGAGGGAGCTTCCGAGAGTTTGTGGACACATTTTACAATCTTTTCATATCGGCCTCCACCCAGTTTTTGAAACTCTTATCCTTTGACGGGAAGTAAAACAGTGTTACTCCTAGTTCCAGTTCACTTTTCAAAATTCTCAAACACCCTGCCAAGTAGAACTGCCCCTAGGGTTTCAGACACTGTAACTCTTTATGGGATAGAAAACCTGGCCTTTCTCCCTCGGAGCAGCTGGTGACTTTGAACTGCCAACTTCAAGGCTAGTCATCTAATGCATAACCACTGCACCACCGGGGCTCCGCAGTGCACAGGTTTATTCCAGACGAAACGTGTTGACACAGGCCTCTGGGCAGTGGGTGCTACAGACAGGTCTTCTCTGGCGCAGACCTACCTTGGTCTCCTTAGGGGGCCTTCAAAGAAGAAGGTCCGGTGTAAACAGTGTCTTCTGAGGGGATCGGCTGGGCCAGTTCAGTTCAAGGCAGAGAAGTCGGAAGGTTGTCAGACTGTTGTTCGGAATCCAGTCAGCCCAGCAGGTTTTCCTGAAAGACACAGGACAATCATGGGGGCTCAGTGTGAAGACATTTTTAGAAAGTTGTTCAAGCGTCATTGGTAAAAAGGACAGGAATGTTTTTCCCCCTCACGACAATGCACCTGTTCATCCTTTGGCATTGTCAAGGCTACCCTACAAGGACTTCTCTGAGAAACTATAACCCCAGCCTTTAAGACTACAGAGTTTTTGTTTCCCAAAGCCAACATTTAAAAAGAACCTAATTTAAGGCCCTGGAGGAAGCCCAACTTGTCTTATAAGTCAAAGAACTGAGACTTCTTTAGGAAGGGGTCACCAAAGGCCACACCCACTGCCATCGGGTCGATTCCACTCGGAGTGACCCTAGGACAGGTAGAACGGTCCCTGTGGATTTCTGATATTGTAACTCCTTATAGGAGCTCAAGAGCCTCATCTTTCTCTTACGGTGCAGATGGTGGTTTTGAACTGCTAACCTTCCCGTTAACAGCCCAATCCATAACCACTATGCCATCCATGCTCCTTTCAGGGAAAGGTATAGACTGAGATGGAGAATATGTTGAGAAATAATTGCTTCACATTTTGATCTTTTTAATAAAGGTACCTGTGACTTTGTAGCAATACTTTTAAGATACATATATTTTAAATTATGAATTCGGTGGAGAGTTGACATTTCAGATCATCAATGTTTGTATTACATAGCTTCAGTTACTTATCAAAACTCCCACTAGCTTGCCCTGCCCTTCAATG